AAGAATGAAAGAAAAAAATATTGCAGCTTATAAAATTAATAATGCGTGGTAAATGCCGAAATAAGTGCATGAAGATAATCACTAAACCAGAAGTCTCTGTCGAGACTGAAGCTCTACTGGTTTGTACTTATAGCTAAGGAAGAGAAAAGTACTTAAGCAGTTGGAAATTGAAACTTTTCAACAGCAATGAAATAGAATAATGATCCTTGATTAAGTCTCTTTATGTTCTAAGTGCAGTCTACTTGCATGCCACATTTATATTATGATCAGACTAAAATTGTATTTGGAGTAGCATTCTGAAAGAATTTCACAGAAATTTCTATTTTTAGTAACCACGGCAACACCGTTCATCGAAATCAAAAACCGATATACAGAATTATGTATCTTATTGTAGTCTACTAGTGTGCCAAGTTATATTGAAATCAGACTAAAACTGTAGAAGGAGTAGCATTTTGAAAGAATTTCACAGAAATTTCTATTTTTAGTAACCATGGCAACACCGTTCATCGAAATCAAAAACTGATACACAGAATTGTGTATCTTAGTGTAGTCTACTTGTGTGCCAAGTTATATTGAAATCAGACTAAAACTGTAGGAGGAATAGCATTTTGAAAGAATTTCACAGAGATTTCTATTTTTAATAACCACGGCAACACCGTTCATCGAAATCAAAAACCGATAAACAGAATTATGTATCTTAGTGTAGTCTACTTGTGTGCCAAGTTATATTGAAATCAGACTAAAACTGTAGAAGGAGTAGCATTTTGAAAGAATTTCACAGAAATTTCTATTTTTAGTAACCACGGAACACCGTTTATCGAAATCAAAAACTGATAAACAGAATCATGTATCTTATTGTAGTCTACTTGTGTGCCAAGTTATATTGAAATCAGACTAAAACTGTAGAAGGAGTAGCATTTTGAAAGAATTTCACAGAAATTTCTATTTTTAGTAACCACGGAACACCATTTATCGAAATCAAAAACTGATATACAGAATTATGTATCTTAGTGTAGTCTACTTGTGTGCCAAGTTATATTGAAATCAGACTAAAACAGTAGAAGGAGTAGTATTTTGAAAGAATTTCACAGAAATTTCTATTTTTAGTAACCACGGCAACACCGTTCATCGAAATCAAAAACCGATACACAGAATTGTGTATCTTAGTGTAGTCTACTAGTGTGCCAAGTTATATTGAAATCAGACCAAAACTGTAGGAGGAGTAGCATTTTGAAAGAATTTCACAGAAATTTTTATTTTTAGTAACCACGGCAACACCGTTCATCAAAATCAAAAACCGATACATGGAATTATGTATCTTAGTGTAGTCTACTTGTGTGCCAAGTTATATTGAAATCAGACCAAAACTGTAGGAGGAGTAACATTTTGAAAAATTGTTTACAGACAGACAGACGGACAGACGGACGGACGGACAACGGACGCATTACTATCGCATAAGCTCTTCTGGTCTCTGACCAGTAGAGCTAAAAACTTAATCACTAACACCTATATTATTTTTTTTAAATATAAATATCAACACATTAATTTGTTAAACTTATGCTATATATCTTAAATTCTTGACTGTAGGCCGACTCTGCTATAGTCCGAGTTTGTGTAGGCCGACTCCGTAATAGTCCGACTTAGTCATAGTCCGACTTTGTTATGGGATGAATTATCACGTAATCCGTTCAAGTTATGCAGTGATACATGTCATACTTGATAAATGTGATATATAAATAATTCCATTTTCATGATTTTTAAAATCATCATTATATCATTTTTTTTGGTAGCCTACTTTAGAATTACGATTTAATATGTTGAATGTTCTGCATTGAAAACAAGAGGCCCATGGGCCACATCGCTCACCTGAGCTCCAAGGGTAGGACTAGTATAAAATGGCTTTTTATTGTAAAGTTTAAATCCAAAAGTAGTCCCATGACCAATCATGGATTTGCTATTTTTTAGAAAATGATTGAGAAGAAGATTTTTAAAGAATTTTCCTATATATTTCTATGTAAAACTTTGGTCTTCCATTTTGGCCCCGCCCTTACCCAGGGGGTCATGATTTGAACAAACTTGAATCTACACTACATGAGCATGCTCCCATATAAATATGATGAATTATGGCTTTGTCATTCTTGAGAAGAAGATTTTTAAAGAATTTTCCTATATATTTCTATGTAAAACATTGGTCGGCCATTTTGGCCCCGCCCTACCCCCGGGGGTCAGGATTTGAACAAACTTGAATCTACACTACCTGAGCATGTTTCCATATAAATATGATGAATTATGGCTTTGTCATTCTTGAGAAGATTTTTAAAGAATTTTCCTATATATTTCTATGTAAAACTTTGGTCGGCCATTTTGACCCCGCCCTTACCCGGGGGGTCATGATTTGAACAAACTTGAATCTACACTACATGAGCATGCTCCCATATTAATATGACGAATTATGGCTTTGTCATTCTTGAGAAGAAGATTTTTAAAGAATTTTCCTATATATTTCTATGTAAAACTTTGGTCGGCCATTTTGGCCCCGCCCTACCCCCGGGGGTCTTGATTTGAACAAACTTGAATCTACACTACATGAGGATGTTTCCCCATAAGTTTCATCTTTCCTGGCACAGTGGTTCTTGAGAAGAAGATTTTTAAAATATACCACTAAATTTTCAGTAATTCCCAATTATCTCCCCTTGAATAAGGGCGTGGCCCTTCATTTGAACAAACTTTAATCCCCTTTACCCAAGGATACTTTGTGGCAAGTTTGGTTGAAATTGGCCCAGCGGTTTTTGAGAAGAAGTCGAAAATGTGAAAAGTTTACAGACAGACAGACAGACGGACAGACGGACGCCGGACAAAATGTGATCAGAAAAGCTCACTTGAGCCTTCGGCTCAGGTGAGCTTAAAACCAGAAGTCTCTGTCGAGACTGAAGCTCTACTGGTTTGTACTTATAGCAAAAGAAGAGAAAAGTACTTAGGCAGTTGGGAATTGAAACTTTTCAACAGCAATTAATAGAAAAATGATCGTTGATTAAGTCTCTTTATGTTTTAGTGTAGTCTACTTGCATGCCACATTACATTATAATCAGACTAAAACTGTATTTGGAGTAGCATTTTGAGAGTATTAAACAGAAATTTCTATTTTTAGTAACCGTGGCAACACCGTTCATTGAAGTGAAAAACTATACACAGAATTATGTACCTTAGTGTAGTCTACTTGTGTGCCAAGTTATATTGAAATCAGACCAAAACTGTAGGAGGTGTAGCATTTTGAAATAATTTCACAGAAATTTCTATTTTTAGTAACCACAGCAACACCGTTCATCGAAATCAAAAACCGATATACAGAATTATGTATCTTAGTGTAGTCTACTTGTGTGCCAAGTTACATTGAAATCAGAACAAAACTGTAGGAGGAGTAGCATTTTGAAAGAATTTCACAGAAATTTCTATTTTTAGAACCACGTCAACACAGTTCATCGAAATCAAAAACTGATTAATAGATTTATGTACCTTAGTGTGTTCTACTTGTGTGTCAAGTTATATATTGAAATCAGACCAAAACTGTAGGAGGAGTAGCATTTTGAAAGAATTTCACAGAAATTTCTATTTTTAGTAACCACGGCAACACCGTTCATCGAAATCAAAAACCGATACACAGAGTTATGTATCTTAGTGTAGTCTACTTGTGTGCCAAGTTAAATTGAAATCAGACCAAAACTGTAGGAGGAGTGGCATTTTGAAAGAATTTCACAGAAATTTCTATTTTTAGTAACCACGGCAGCACCGTTCATTGAAATCAAAAACCGATACACAGAATTATGTATCTTAGTGTAGTCTACTTGTGTGCCAAGTTATATTGAAATCAGACCAAAACTGTAGGAGGAGTAGCATTTTGAAAGAATTTCACAGAAATTTCTATTTTTAGTAACCACGACAACACCGTTCATCGAAATCAAAAACCGATATACAGAATTATGTATCTTAGTGTAGTCTACTTGTGTGCCAAGTTATATTGAAATCAGACCAAAACTGTAGGAGGAGTAGCATTTTGAAAGAATTTCACAGAAATTTCTATTTTTAGTAACCACGACAACACCGTTCATCGAAATCAAAAACCGATACACAGAATTATGTATCTTAGTGTAGTCTACTTGTGTGCCAAGTTATATTGAAATCAGACCAAAACTGTAGAAGGAGTAGCATTTTGAAAGAATTTCACAGAAATTTCTATTTTTAGTAACCACGGCAACACCGTTCATCGAAATCAAAAACCGATATACAGAATTATGTATCTTAGTGTAGTCTACTTGTGTGCCAAGTTATATTGAAATCAGACCAAAACTGTAGGAGGAGTAGCATTTTGAAAAATTGTTTACAGACGGACAGACAGACAGACAGACAGACAGATGCTGGACGCATTACTATCGCATAAGCTCTTCTGGTCTCTGACTAGTAGAGCTAAAAATCACACGTGTACAAAAAAATATATATTAACATTATATATGATTATATGTACAGGATTTAAAATTTACAGTCAAGTAATTCTTGAAAATTTTATTTTGTTGGTATTTGCTTCTCTGCATGATCCGCCTATGCTAATGCCATTTTATAGTGTGTCTGCAAGGAAACAAGAAAATTTTTCTTTTTTAGGTTTTTTGGTAAATAATACCAACTGATTCATTAATAATAATGTTCTTATCTAATCAATTTTTAGCCATTTACAAGGTGATTTGAAATACCCAGAAGTGACTCGCAATACACTAAAAAGGCGATGTAAATATAACCCCCCTCAAGGCCGCCCTGTAATGTATATCTAATTTTTCAAAGAATTGGCTTTCCTTTAAATATTAAACAACAACTTATAAACTTTGTTCATAAAATTGTTTGTAGGAAATATGTAGTGATTTGGAATACCCTAAATGACTGTATAATAGACCACTGCTGACATTTTTGATCAGATTGTTGAAATTGAAAAAAATATTTAAAAATTAACTCACTTTTCATCAAAGCCTCCCTTTGCTACAGGTTTCTTCATTTCTTCATTTTTGATACCATGTAAATTTTCTCTCTCTTGTACTGCAAATAACATTAGTAACATGAAAATTTTCAAGAAAATATTTATTAATACTATATCAGGGATCCTTCTCTGCAATGCGTCAATGTTGTTTTGTTAAAGGTCAAGTATAATATTTTGTGAAAATTCATAATTATCCATTATTTTCAGCCTCTGGAGCAATATGAATGACATTCTGAGGTCTTTTAATTTTTTTGTCACCAATTTCCTTCACTAATAGTCGTTTAAACTAACCTGTGTGACAAGTGGATCATTTATTGTAAATCGCTTATCTCCCTTGTTGCGTGACGTCATCAGAGACAGTGTGAAATAGGAAGTGCATGCTATAGTGCCGTGTTTGGAACATTATTGTTTGCGAGATGTTGCCATGTGGGCTTTTAACTGTACCAATAAATCGGAACAAGACATGAGTATATATTTAAATTCTTACGCACCTGAAATTGAGGGAAATATGGACATTCAGTTTAAAAAGAGATGGTTTTGAGCCCAATAAACACGAAACACTATAAATATAAGCGACATTTTACATAGACCATGCATTTGTCGAGTGTCTCTAATGACGTCACAAAAAGGGGAAGTAACTCTATTGATGAATGTTATTTTTAGCGATATTTGAACAGGTAAATAAAGAAAACAACGAGGTTTAAAATTAAACGAATATTATAATTCCTTCTTTTTAACCATTGTTTACAACATATATTATATACAAGTATATCTATTTCCTTGATATTTGACCTTTAAGGACACTCCTTACACTACACCCTAATTTTGTTACCAATACATGTGGTAATGAAATTAATTTTACCTGTAAAGCACAATTTACAACTCTTAAACTAACATAACTACCCTAAGTCAAGAAATAAGGGCAACACACTTCTTTTCCTTACGTAACTCATTTTATTAAATGAAAGAATAAGTGAGCTAGCTCACATACCCCACGCTCCCCCAAAACTTGACGGTGAAACACATAATGAAAGGCACAGTGCACTTTAAATACATAGTATAGATCAAAAAGGGCAATAATTGCAAAAAAATCTTCACATCAAAATGTCTTGCATATGAGGACATTTAAATGTGGAATGAAGTTTCTAGATAAATAATGGAATCAATATTTCATGGCATTATACAAAAATCCAAACATTAATTTGAAGTGGTTGGGGGGGGGGGATTTTGAGAAACTTTCTTGAATAATAGGCAAAACTCTTTGGGATAAAATAATGGAATATGTCCTAAATATCTGCATAGGTTGACGAAACTATGTACAACAGTTTAAGAGGAGTGGTGCTGACAAACTGTTCATCTATATATTCAAAATATGGCCAAAACGTCTAAGTTGGAAAGTGTGGAAATTCCCGGAAAAATAAAGGAATTGGAATTTCCTGGTAATATGCACATCTACATATTGTGTCCTAAATATCTGCAAAGTTTAACGAAATTCTGTGCAGTGGTTTATGAGGAGTTGCGCTGACAAACTGTTTATCTCTATATTCAAGGTATGGCCAAATGCCTAAGTTAAAAAGTGTGGAAATTCTCGGAAAAAAAAAAGGAATCGGAATTTCCTGGTAACATGCACATCTACACATTGTGTCCTAAATATCTGCAAAGTTTGACGAAATTCTGTGCAGCGGTTTATGAGGAGTTGCGCTGACAATCTGTTCATCTCTATATTCAAGGTATGGCCAAATGCCTAAGTTAAAAAGTGCAGAAATTCCCGGAAAAAATAATGGAATCGGAATTTCCTGGTAATATGCACATCTACACATTGTGTCCTAAATATCTGCAAAGTTTGACGAAATTCTGTGCAGCAGTTTATGAGGAGTTGCGCTGACAAAAAAAGAGGACTGACTGACTGACGGACGGACGGGTCAAAAACATTATACCTCCCGCAACTAGTTGCATGGGGTATAATAATGCACTGTTAGGCATGTGAGATGGTTTGAAGATGTGACAGTTTCATAAAAACTTTTAAATTGCTGATTTTTCGACAGATTTTCCCAAAGTGTGGCCATAGTAACGAACAACTTTCATACTTACCATATGTAAAAATATTGCTGATACGAATCTTCTTACTTAATTGATATAATCGTTGTTCATACGTGTGACCAATATGAAAAATGACTTTACATTTAAATTTAGAAGTATCAAAGATTCACCAGTTTTGATAATCATTCGGTAATATTTGGTTAATATAACAATAAATATACAGTAAAATTTGTCTAATCCGGACTCTGAGTACTCTGGATTTTTGTCCATTACGTCTATAAATTTTAGTCCCACGCATTTCTTTAACAAATTCATTAGAAAAAATTCTGTGTAGTTGGGATACTGTCTATTCTGTATTCCGAATGGCCATACAGGTCCCAACTGCTCATAATTAATGGTAATCATTTCCTCTAATCCGGCCACACATAATAACTTGAGTTACTTTAAAGCGATTAACCCCTTTTGTGGTGGATGCATGTGCTAATCTGTGTTTACAATAGCAGTGCCATGAGACGAACTCCGAGTGAAATGTGGTGGGGACACAGCCCGCTTGAAAAAAATATTATATGATTAAATTACAATTTTAAACAAAATTAACTTTGATTTAACTCCTTTTATCACATTATAACACAAGAGGCCCAGGGGCCACATGGCTCACCTGAGCACATCAGCTAGGAACAAGCACATTTATTGGATCAGAACTGAAAAGTTTACTGAGGGGGGGGGGGGGGTAAGGGGGGGGGGTCGGGAAGGGGCTTGAATTTCTTATTCTACTTGAGAATGCCTCCATATCAATACTGCATATAACTTCTTGAGAGAAAGATTTTTATAGATTTTTTTTGTAATAAATTGAATTTGACTCCCCATTGCTTGCTTCCCTCCCTACCTCCAAAGTGTACTCATGATTTGAACAAATTTAAATATTCAATGCATGAGGATGCTTACATGTCAATATGACTAAACATAGTGTTTCTGTTATTGGGATTTTCCTCTTTATTTTCCTATGTAAAACTTTGATTCACCATTGAGACCCTTCTTTACCCTTGGAGGTTATGATTTGAATAATTTAATTCTACACTATCTGAGGATGCTTCCATATAAATATCAATAACCATGGCTATGCTATTCTATAGAAAAAGATTATTTAAAATATGTTTTAATGTAAAACTTGGACCCCCCACTGTGGCCACACCCTTCCCTGGGGGTTATGATTTGAACAAACTAGAATCTACACTATCTGAGGATGCTTCAATATAAATATCACTAATCATGGCTTTGCAGTGCTTGAGAAGGAAATTTTTAAAGATTTCCATATATTCCTACATGTATGTAAAACTTTAATCAGCCATTGTGGCCCCACCCTACCCCCGGGCCCCGGGGGTCATGATTTGAACAAACTTGAATGAACACTACCTGAGAATGAGTCAACATGAGTTTCATCTTTCCTGTCCCTATTCATCTTGAGTAGAAGAAGATTGTTTAAAGATTTTTCCTATATATTCCTATGTAAAACTTTGATGGGCCATTGTGGCCCCACCCTACCCCTGGGGGCCATGATTTGAACAAATTTGAATCTACACTACCTAAGGATGATTCCACATGAGTTTCTCTTCCCTGGCCCATAGGTTCTTGAGAAGAAGATTTGTTTTAAAAATGCCATTATTTTTTTCTTTAATTTATAATTATCTCCCTTTGGAAGAGGGCAAGGGCCCTTCCTTTGAACAAACTTGAATCCCCTTTACCCAAGGATACTTTGTAGCAAGTTTGGTTGAAATTGGTTCAGTGGTTCTTGAGAAGAAGATGAAAATGTGAAAAGTTTACAACACCAACGACGACTACGACGACACTGACGACGACAGACAACGGACAAATTTTGATCTGAAAAGCTCAGGTGAGCTAATAAATACAAAAATATATGTACAAGATTTACAAATCAAAATATAAATCGGGACTGAAAATCAAACAAATTTCAAGTGGCACCGTAACACTGTGGGGAAGACAAAAGTACAATCCAATAATTATCACATCGTAAATAATTGTGCATTACTGGTTATACATTGAATGAGCTCTTTGACAAGCGAAACCTGCTCCGCTTGATATATAGTAGGCCTAAAATATGCGTGCCTTTAGATTTTGATTTAAGGTAGGTCATTCGTCAGCTTTTTGAAAAAGTTCACGCAGAACCTCTTACTTCAAAACTATTCATCAAAATTCAATTTTCATAACATATTTAATTTCAACAATGTAAATGTTTTAACATTCAACAAAAAAACTGCTCAAAAAGCTACAAAGAAGCAAGATTTGTGAGGGACTTTTTTTTGTGGTGGAAGGATATTTAGCAGATAATTCTGCAAATCTGCACATTTATTAAATTTAATATCTTGAATTTTAGCCTCACATACTTTTACTCGGAGAACATTTTTCATTATGATATTGCTAGGAATATTTAATATAGGTCTTAATTTATATTTTTAGAACAAGTTTTACACCTTCCTTCAACAAACTTTGCCAAAAAATGAAGATATGTCAAGTAAGTCACTATAAAATTAACACCATTTTTTGCCTGAAAATCACATATTTTGACCAATATTTCAAAATTAACATCACTGACCCCAACTTTTTCTTTCATTATTTTAAAGTACTCAATACTTGTGACTGATCAGCACTTAAGTTGTAAAAAGCTTGATTTAAGAAAATGTTTTACTGCCTATTTAGTTTTTTAATACCCCAAAATATGTTACTTTTTAGTGCAAAAAGGTCACACAATAATTTACGCGCATTAATTTGCAAGATTTTTTCAATGAGAAATATTATTCAAAATATTTTACATAAAATATGATAATATTTTTTGCCATGGTTACATCTGATAAAATATAATAAAGGTTTAATTAATTAACCAAAGAGTGAAAATTTAAGCAAAAAGGTCAACTTTATTGTTCGGTAGATCAGTAAGATGAACACTGACCCCCTATTTTCTCTGCAATTTTGAGTCACTCTATATGAGTACTTATCCAAAATA